CTCCCCCCCCCCTCTGGTCTCTAGCCTCCTCCCACACCCGCATGTCCCTGGTTCCTGATCCCTGCCCTCCCCCGCACATACACCTCTGGTATGTGGCCTCTTCTCCCTCCTAAGTCAAAATGGCTTTCAGCCAGCACTAGGGAATTCTTTATGAGCCCTTGTCCTGGCAAAAAGGAACAGATCACAGCACCAAAAATTAATGGTAGCTTTGGAACAAGTGATCACGATGTGATCACACTTATAATGTGCAAGCAGAATAAAGTCCAGACCAGTAATAGATATACTTCGTGCTTTAAGAGAGCCAGTTTCACAAATCTGAATATGATTATGAGCCAGATCAGCTGGTAGGAAGCGTTTAATCATAAAAATGTAAATGATAATTGGGAATTATCTAAGAATTTACTTGATTCCCAAACAGCCACAATTCCACAACTGAGGAAGAAGGTTGTGCTGATTGAAAGACAACCTGGTTTAGAGGGGAAGTGAAGACAGCTATAAAAATATAATAATAAATGGAAAAATGGGAAAGAGGAACTGTAGACAGTTGATAAGGGAAGCCAAGGGACACAAGGAGAAATCTATGGCCAGCAGAGTTAAAGAAAATGAGGCGTTTTTAAAGTATATTAGGAACAGAAAAAATCCCGACAAAGTATTAGTCTGTTACTAGCTGTAAATGGTAGAATTATCTGGATGGATGGATTCTTCCGTCGCTCATAGATGAGTGTTCAGCTAGTGCTGACTTATGTTCTAGATTGATTTGATTTTGTGGCTTCTCACGTGGCTTCTCAATGCCCCCTCGACCTCCTCTCAGCGAGTGCTGGAACAGCAGAAGCGGTTAGTAGGTGTCTGGACACAGCATAGACCGTACTGGGTTAGCGTAGAGAATGGAACAGTTACAGCAGCGTTCCTTTGGGTGTGCCCAGAGCCCCAAGCTCTCTCTGACCCCCCTCGAGTCCCAGTCCAGAAGTGTGAGTCCTGCTTCTAGCAGCCCACACTCTGCCACACCCAAGGGCCACTCCTCCATCCTTTGTTCTAATTCCCGGGCAAAACAGGTCCCCTGGTCATTCTCCTTCACTCTTTGTTCTCCCATTGGCTAAAACTGTCTGGCTTCCTGGAGAGGGGTCGCCAGTCCCAGTCGTTAGTTGCTAGGCACCGAATGTCCAGGCCATTGTCTTGTGGATTCATCATGGGCATGGGGCCCCAGACAGCCAGCGTCAGTCACACCTGGATTGCTATAAAGAATAAACCCCCTTTTCTCACCACCTAGTAACCATGCAGCACATAAGGGAAACTGAGGCACACACAGTATTCATACAAAATATTAAGAAAAATTCCCACTTCGTCACAGCTTGTCAGCCACATCCTGCAGTTCTGCAGCCTTCTGTTCCCGCATCATTAGCGCTAATCGGGTTTGTAGTGTGGAGGTGGTGCTTGTGGCCTCGCAGGAGAGGGCAGTGGTTCTCTGTATGCTGCTGCGCCCACAAGCGCCGCCTCTGCAGCTCCCATTGGCCGCAGCTCCTGACCAATGGGAGCTGTGGAGTCGACGCTGGGGGGTGGGGCCTGCGGAGTCGACTCTGGGGAGTTGGGCAGCAGCAGTGGACGGAGCCACCTGTCCTTACCCTGGGGCGGCAGAGACATTCCAGCCGCTTCCAGGAGCGGCATGGGGTCAGGGCAGATACTGGCAGCCTGCCTTAGCCCCGCTGCACCGCCGATCGGGAGCCACCCGTGATAAGTGCCTCCGCGCCGGAGCCTGAACCTTGCACCCCCTCCCACACCCCAATCCTCTGCCCCAGCCCGGAGCCTCCACCTGCACCCAAACTCCCTCCCAGAGCTTGCTCCCCTCACCCTCTCTTGCACCCCAACCCCCTGCCCCAGGCTCAGTCCAGAGCCCCCTCCCACACTCCGAACCCCTCGGCCCCAGCCCAGTGAAAGTGAGGGAGGGCGGGGGAGAGCAAGCGACCAAGAGAGGCGGGGTTGGAGTGTGCAGGGCGGGGCCTCAGGGAAGGGGCTGGGTTGATCCTGGGTTGATCTTCAGTTCAAAAAGTGATCTTGTATGTAAAAAGGTTGGAGACTATTGGGTTAGACATTATGAGGTGCTCAGATACTATGGTGATGGGGCCACATAAGTGCCACAGGCAGAGTGGGAACTTCTCTATTCACTGCTCGCCCTGCCCTGGGGTTTTGGGCCCTTCTTTTCACCTACACCCCCAAATCTCTCTCTCTTCTGAATAAAAACAACAAGGAGTCTGGTTTCAGAGTAGCAGCCGTGTTAGTCTGTATCCGCAAAAAGAAGAACAGGAGGACTTGTGGCACCTTAGAGACTAACAAATTTATTAGAGCATAAGCTTTCATGGGTAAATAAGCTCACCTCTTTAAGGTGCCACCAGACTCCTTGTTGTTTTTGTAGATACAGATTAACACAGCTCACCCGATACTCTCTTCTGAACGTGAG